AACACTGTTTATAACTCACCTGTTTAAACTGTATTACGGTTTAAAGCTTGCATTATTGCAGCAGTGGCAGGTGGATGGCTGCAGCTGTTGGTGTGTTTTGGAGAGTTTTTAATGCACTTGTCTGACAAATAACGTTACCCGCACTGCGGTTAGAGTCACTGCCGGTAAATCTTTAGTTTCAGTTTGTTGTTGTCACGGCCAGACGGTCATCACCGGTCCATCTGCCAGTTTGGGTTGTGTTTTTGTGCACTTTTGCTGTTTTCTCCTCTCCGTCCCGTGTGTGTGCGTGTGTGTTTGTGTTCTTTGTTGTGATGTAGAAACATGTACTTCCGGGGAGCCGTGGGACGGAACGGCAGCTGACCCGCCGCTCCTGTGCTTAATCGCTTCGCCGGCTGCTACTAGAGTCCTTGACTCTCATGTAAAATCTTTGTCTCGTTCCTGTTTCTATCATTTAAGAAATATTTCTAAACTGCGACATATGGTCTCTTCAGCTGAACTGGAAAAACTCATTCATGCATTTGTGTCATCACGCTTAGATTACTGTAGTTCCCTGTTTATTAGCTTGGATAAACCATCTCTCTCTCGCCTCCAGGCAATACAAAACGCAGCAGCCAGAGTACTAACTCGTTCTACCAAGCGTGCCCACACTACTCCCATCTTATATTCTTTACATTGGCTCCCAATAGAGTTTAGAATTCGCTTTAAAATTCTTGTTTTAACATACAGAGCACTAAATGGCCAGGCCCCAGATTATTTATCCAAGCTTCTTATAAAATACACTGCTGCTCGTCATCTCCGCTCACAGAGTCTGTATGTTGTTCCCCGTAAACGACTGAAGACAAAAGGGGACAGAGCCTTTCAGTCTGTCGCACCAAGGCTGTGGAAAAGTTTACCACTACAATTACATTTGCTTGACTCTGTGGATTCTTTTAAAAAGCAGTTAAAAACTTTTCTGTTCAAACAAGCCTTTTGTTGTTCTACGTATGTTATATATTGTTTACATTATTTACATTTGATCTTTTACACTGTATATGTCTATTGATTGTATTGTTTATTTTAATATTTGTGTACAGCGCTTTGTGACTGTCTGTCTGTGAAAAGCGCTTAATAAATAAACTTTACTTACTTACTAATCTTTTGACATCCAGACCTATTTAACGGTGCGGTCGGATGAGAGCCAGCACTGGAACGTTGAGCTAAGCCGGGTAGCGCAGCCGCGGTTAGTGTTTCAAGATTGTGAACGTGAGAGAACAGTTTAGTTACTGTATGTTTGTTTTCTCGTCTGTCTCCAGGATCCGGGGAACGGAGGAGCAGCGAGAGAAGGAGTTTTGGATTATTATTGCACTGTCACGCTGGGAGAAGTCACCTTGCTCTTTTTGATTACAGTCAAACTGTTGCCTTGCTTTCACTGTAAATAAATTCACCATCACTTCGCAAGGACTCTCGGACCTGAGTCCTCTAATTCCATTTACCATGACAGTTGTAGTGACTTTACTCCTTTCAGTGCCACTTTAAGCTTTTAAAAACTTTACTTTTAGGTTAGTTTGAAAAAGTTTCAGTGGGAAGTTTAGTATTTTGTGTGTTATTATTGGAGTATTTAGAGTAGGAAAAGGCTTTTAAAACTAAATGAGTGACCAACACAGGTTTATCACTGAGTAAGGCCCCAGTCACACAGGCCGAGAGAGCAGTCCATAACATTTGGCAACCTCTGGGCACGAGGTTTCCCTGACTGGTTGGCAAGTTGTTGCTGGAGGTTGCTGGCAGTCATTGTGAAGTCAGTCCCGAACAGGGTCACTAAAATCTCCTGTGATAGCTTTGTTCACTAGCACACTGTTACAGATTCCTGTAAGTGCATGTGAGACACCAACCTGCCTGCAAACACTCACCAACTGTTCACAGACTGGTATAAAATGTGGAAAAAGTTTGATGTAAACCAGAAACTGAGAACACTCGTCTTTAATGTAAAAGTTTCAAAAGGGTCAGCTTGTACTTTGAAGGAGAACGGTGTCCATTTGCAGTTTTACTTTTCACAGCTTCACTGCTGCTTGGTGAGCAGTTGGCAAGTGTTTGCAGACAAGTTGGCATCTTCCATGCAAATGAAAGGTGACTGCAGCATTTGGACTGCCAGCAACCACATTTTTCCTAGCGTTCCTATTTACCAATGGTTATGAGTCTCTCAGACTCTTGAGACAGCATTATACATTTCAAAATAGCAAACAAGTTAATGTCACATGGTTAACAGTCACATGACTGGAAACCTGAATCGTCTCTGATGTGACACCTATTGTTCAGGTGAGAGTAAAAAGGTCATTGAGCTGTGCTGACATCACAGTAAATCGTAGCCACGGAGTTACTCATACCTACCCTCCATATTTTCCATAAATCAAGATATAGCTAGTTTTTGACAGCTGGCTAGCTAACCACATGACGTTTTCATGTCAGATGATATTTAAATATTTACTGTTAGTTTAAAAAAGGGAAGGAGTGAAGAAAGGCGAAGATGTCCAGGCAGAGTGCAGGAAGCTACAGAAGAGACGTGTCATCACAGGAAAGACAAATCATGACATCAAATCTTCTGTTAAAGGACTTTGTTATAAAGTTTGATCCTTTCATTATTCAGCTGTTAAACAGTCTGAACTTCTCAAATACTTTAAATATTTCAGGTTTAGTGTTTGTTTTAATATGAAGCCGGGTAGTAAATCATCATCAGCGCACATCTGAGGTGAAACTCATCAGTCATTAACTCGACTTCACACTTTAGTGGCCAGAGAAGACTGAATAACACTGTAATCCAGCTCACTTCAGATGTATTTAAAGTTACTGAATGGGATGGTTTATGAGCCCCGCTCTTTATTTACACCTGTGAAAGAAGCACACGTGAAGGCCGTGAGTGCAGTTTGTAATAAATGACAGTTTATTATAAAGGTTACAATCTGTTGCGTTGCAGAGCTCATCAGTTGTCATCGTGTGCTCTTCGGTTGTTAGAAAAGGGAAGAAAAAACTACAAGTACACGCACACCACTCACTCCAGAAGAAACTACAAACATACTGTAAAAAGAGGAAGCTAGAAAGGAGGGGGGGG